GTAGGAGAGAATTCTTGGTTCATAAGAAGTAATAAAAAGTCAAGTCAAGACATACTTACTTGGTAAGCTCGACAAATTTTTTGCTAATTTATTGCTCTGAATCGTTCATCTGTGCAGCTCAAAGTATTATTTGCACAAAAGTCTTGATCCTGAAGTTAAATGTACAGCAGTAGATGTTTTTCTCCAGTTAAGAGGTATCCACAGTATGGTTCCCAGACACAAAAATCTGGTTTAGTACGTTATTTAAATCAGCCCCAGGTAATCAACCTACTGCATTAAAAATCTCAAAAACACTGTTCTGTTGCAGGTATTGCTCTAGGGAAAATAAAACTGATAAAGCACGGCTTACAAATCAGTGTTTGGACAGTTACACTAGCCTGAAGACTAAGAACTTAACAACTAAATACTCCCGAGTTTAACACAGCTTCCAAACACTCGGCACTCCTGAAGAAACAGGCCACCTATTTAGGACTCTAATTATGGCATTAAAAATCCTACTTTAGCAAGTTGCTCTGCATTGACCAGTATTGACTGGTATTATCTAGATTAGTCATTGAAACTCTTAAGGTAATAAATATATAAATAATAAATATAAACTGTACTAAAACTGTCATAATTGAGAATTTGAAATCCTCTGAGTGGAAGTGATTTTAAGACAGAAGCAACATGACAGCAGTTTAAACTAAACTAAAACTAACACTTGCTGTGATGTACAATCTTAAAACTCATTTTGCTTTGCAAGGGTTTTGGTTTCTTTGAAAAGTTTAGCACATTTCAAAAATAAATATAAAAAGAAAAATCTGTGTTTGTGCGAGACGGTACCTTACCATACAAATCCCCAGCTGGAGAGCTATATTCAAACACAGAATAATAAAGCTCAGCTTTTAGGACTATGGACATTGTATGTACTGCTTGTTTGAACAAACAGGAAGGACAAATCAAGGTGAAAAACACACGGACACGCAGTGTATTTCCTGAACTCAGAATTCTGAGACACAGAAACTAAATCCATATTCATAGAATGCAGTGTTTTTACTGGAATGAAAATAGTTGAACACCAAAGTGTATTATTAAACTGTTATAATAGGTTTCAGTAAGCTTATTTGCAAGATATTAAGAAACATTAAGCTTGCAATGAGAATAGGGTTAGCAGACACTGCAATATTTTTGAAAAAAAAAAACAAACCAGAAATCATTATTCTTTTTCCTCATCCAAGAAATGTAAATGAAAAAAAAAATGAATATACAGAACACTGACTTCTGTGCTTGAGTTTTGGCCACGAGAATGTCTGAAGCACGTTTGGTTGGTTTTTTTTTAAAGCAGTACCTAGGATTAGAAATATATTTTTAGCTTTGAATCCTACATTCATTTTTTTGTAATCTGAATCAGAGCCTAAGAGAGAATATTCATATTGTCTAACTTCTTGACACGCAACCTGTCTAAACCGGGGGCTGTATGTGGTCAGTGGTGCCAGGTATGTTCTTCTAGAGAATTAGATTATCTAAATAAGGAGCCTAGATTCTCTCCAAGGGAAGAGAAACAGGCACCTCAATTAAATGCTTAAGTTAGAGGCTGTGAATACCTGACAAGACTTCTAAACGCTCCTTAATGATTCCAGTACAAGCCAGCAATCCCTTCCCTATGTAAAGTACCTATAATGGTACAAGCAGTGTGACAGAACTTAAACTTGTAGACACAGTTTTATCTATGAAAAAAAAAATTAATGTCGTTTGTGTTATCTTAAAAATCTGAGGGAGAATAAAAGCTTATAGTGAGTCACAGAAGAAACACTTGACTATTGGCTTAACTGGCTCACGTTGAAATCAGTGTTGCCATGATGTCTAACTACTTTTATTCAAAAACAAAAAAAAACTCTTGAACTTCGGAAAATTCTCCTAAGAGATGTCCTTCATAACTGCTGTAAGCAAAAGCAGCTTTACTGTAACTACTGTGGTCACTGTGAATTCAACTTCACATAAGACATGTTTCAGTTTTAACTCTGAAGTACAGAAAATCTGCTTTCATCCCGTTAGGTACTACACATAATTACTTACTCAGTTATCAGTAATTACAATCACTGTCACTAGTATATTAGTTTAATAGCAAGAAACATTACTTTCATCGGAATTGATGTCAGTTCTATAGTGAGGACCATCCATCAATGCTAACACCACAGAATAAAGAAATGTCATGGAAGGGAAAAGTTTTGAATTTGTGTACGATTCCTGTGTGGCTTATCTTGTTTGCAACAGGTACGTACTTTACAGAAACTGGATGAGGTGCTGACGCTGCTGAATGCCATTTGGACTTAGCGGGGGAAAAATGTGGTAGCAGAACATTAATGATCTACAGAAAGTTAGGCAGTGGGGGCACTGGCCTTCCTAAGCTGTTTTCATTTGCTAAGCTCGAGCCAGCTAAAGTTCAGAGGAAAGGTGCTTTGTCCCCTGCCATACAAAATGATTACTGCAGTTAAAACAAAGATGTGTGATCATGTGGAAAAGTATCCTGCTAAACTGTGAACAATGCAGTACGTATTCCCCATGCATGGTAGGATGTACTCGCTCTATGGAAGCTTGGAAGGAATACGTAACTTCCACGTACACATCAACGCTTTCGTGTAAGACTTTCCAAATGGCACAAAATTTGATGACTGCTATTTTTTAGTATCTTCTGAAATTGCTACTGTATCTTTAAGAATCCTCAATCTAAATACCTCAGCCTTTTATGGAAGGAGACAAGCACAGTACAAATTAGCAAGATGGGTGTTTGACAGCATCGCAATCGCCAACACAAGTCCTGATGAAAAGAAGCACGAGCTCCAAGCTCTATTTAACATTTTCATTATGACTTCCAAAATGTAACAGTCATCACAAGGAATTAACCACATAACAATGGTAAAGTAACTGAAAAATAAGAGCAAGGTTTCAGCATAGCAAAGGAATTTATGGAAACATCTAGTATTTCCACTATAGCAGTAGATAACACTGCAACCCTTCAAAGAGGAGCAGTTTTACTGTATTCTGCAACTGTGACTTCATACTTGCAAGGGAGATGTAAGCACAATTAGATCTACAGCACAGATATAGCCAGACAAACAGGTCTAATTAATTGGTGGCTCTGTGCTCACAGGTAAGACCAACAACAATTAAGTATGCCCACCTTGTCTCTTTACTATCTCTTCAAAAAAACCTTAACAACTCCCAAATGGAAACATTAATTTATTATAAATTGCAAGGGTTTTTTTCTACCCTACTAGATAGGATTTATTTAGATTATAGTTGGAATGCACAAGACTTTTGTTTATACATAAAATTAGTTTATCTATGTAGGATGACTGCCGCAGAAGCTTCTCAAAGTTCACAGTAATAGTTACACTGACTTGTAAGATGTATTGAACGAGTAAGTATATTCACAACTTGTGCTTAGCCGCGTACGAATTCCAATGTATATGTCACTGCAGCTCCAGCATATGACGGCATTAATAATTTTAACCCCATTCCTTAGGTTGTCATCTTTGGGAGACATTTCAGTGTTTACTTTCCACTACTCCTGGATCCCTCCATCGTAAAGCATTACCTATCTGTAATCTGTTCTCCTTAACAGATCAGGTTGAATACATAAAGAATAGCACCTTTTTTCCCATCTTTCCTCCCACACAAAAATTATTCAACTATGATATTCTAGCTAGCAAGACTACTTAATGGAACACATCTTCACAGCATAGGCAAATCCTCACTGGAATTTAGATAGGTACAAAAGTCACCATCAGCCTCAAGAATACCGCAAGTACCAGAGCTCACGTGGATAGAGTCAGGACATGGCCTCTTGTGCTAAATGGTAAGAAAAACAGGAACTCTAGTGGGAAATCTGGTCCCAGGGAGCACCAGTTTTCTGCTCTTACAGCTACATAAGGATCAGCTTGCTAATTGATGCAAATACAGCTGTACAAAGTCAAATATGTTCACAATTACGAGAAATGAAACTCCACGTTACTCTATGTGAAACCTAACAAAAACCAACTATAATAGCCTTATATGGAGATAAAGAAACATTTTAATTATTTTCTCTGCATATTATCTTTTTTACTTTTGCTGAAATATAGTAGCTCAGTGTGAGACAAAACAAGGCTGACACAAGCATAACAAAAATTAAAGAAGTACAGAATTAATGGAATAATCTGCTTTATAGTTTAAAATGCATTGTTTCTAAAATAAGTTGTCTGAGATTTTTTATTTTACAAAAAACATCAAAAAACTATAAATTGCTAGAAAAGCAACTGAGATTGGGATCCAAACTAATAAAGGTCTCCACTAACAAGAAATGTTATGATTAAATTAATATAAGCAGGAATAGGAAAAATAACATTTTACCAACAGGTAACTGAGGCTGGAGTTTAGTGACATTCCTAAAGTCACATAAGATGTCACTGGCAAAATGCAGGAGGTGAAAGCAGATCTTTAGTTCTAAGACACATCCTCCTGTTTAACACTTCTAAATCACAGGGTTTCCAACCAAAATGTAACATAAAAATTGCTAGAATGCAGAGGGAAAAACTCACTAACATGCAAATGTCACCCTAACATACCAGTAAAACACAAACATGACAAAGACTCAGAGACATCTACAAAAGTAAGAAAACCTATGTACAAGGAAAAGTGAACAAAAAAAAAAAAATCAAGTTTTAAAGGGTCTCATAAGAATATAAGCATTACAATAGGCAGAAAATACTTGCTGGATTAAACATATTATGCTCTTCTACTGCTGCCTCAGCAGCTACATTTTCTGTCTTTCTTGACAGTCAACATTCTTAACTAACTGTAAGAATCCTGTATTGCTGAATACATGAAAAATGTTAGTTGCAATTTAGGACTAAAGATAGAAATGTACAATTTTCAAACAAAGTATCAGGGCTGTAACCACTGTTTAATTCTCCTTTAGAATGGATGAAGCCAAAATGCTATGCAAGACTATGAACACACCAGTTACACACCATCCTTACCTGCAAAGGAAGGAGAGTATTACTGTTGTTGTCAGTTCGGAAAACATTATCTTCAATCCATGATTTTGGTGTCAGTGATGGAGTAGAGCGAGTAAATTTAGGAGGAGCTATGACATTACCAGAAAAGGGCTTCTTCAAAGGAGAGATCTGGTTCATAGTTCCTGGAATTCCCATGTTTCCAGTTCTACGATGGTCTCTGCCATGCACTCCTCCCCAGGATATATTTCCTGTGCTCCAGCCGCTACTCTGATTGCTCCAGGGTGACTGCTTCAGAAGAGGCTAAAAAGAAAGATTCATTTATATTATTTTGAAAATACCTGAAATGTTTTTTTACTTAAAAACAACAAAAAAACCACAACAAAAAAACACAGCAAAATCCCAAAACAACCAATTAATCAATGTGCAAAGATTTCTGTAAACCAATTTTTCCTGATAACATGTAAATTACATTGAGGCAAGGAAGAAAACTTAGCATAGCATCATTAAAAAAAATAATTCCCACTCCCCTATTTACCCCCAAAAAACCCCACGGTACTTGTGCAAGTAATTCAGATTATCATTTTAGGAACTGGTAGCATTCTTCAAAGCTATGCAGTAGAACAATTCCAGGGTGTAAAATCGTGTTACATAAACACCATTTAATCACATATTACTTGGCATTATATAGTGAGATCTCTTCAAAAATAACACAAGAATTTCAAAGAGGTAATTTTAAAGTAATAATAATAATCCTAATAATAATTTCTACTTAGCAAGTAGTAGTATTTCTCTATAGCGAGCAGAAATGTAAAAATAAAATTCAGATGGCAGATTGATTCCCCCCCCCCAGTATTTTAAGTATCACTCAGAATTACCATATAAGAGCAAAAAGAGCACTGATTACTGTACAGAGACTCTGTTTGAAGAAGCTATCTTAACATTTCCACATTAAAATGCATTATTCTGAAGCCACTGCTCAAGTATTTCTGGAGTAATGTATGGCACTATCTGTAGAATTCTGCAGGGTGGAATCTGGGGGATTTTTGAGGATTTGTTTTCTTATTTAGGTGCAATTTAAATGACTTCTGTATCTAACGAGTGCACTATATTCCTCAATATAAAAATGTAAGCAGTCTTTAGAGGGAAGATTTTACAGGGTAAGAAGTTTTTATTCCTAAACCACAAGTTGTGCTAAAAAGTGACCTATAGTGGTTGTCATACTACCAAGAGGTGGACCCATTGAGCCTGACTGACAGTGAAAAACAGTATTTATCTTTAGTGTCCTCAAATCTGACTGTTCTTGGACAGGCTTTTCCTCAAACACAGAAATGGGTGTGTGTTTGTGTGTGTGTGAGAGTGGATATTCTAAATTCAGGTCTCCTGTGAGGGCAAAACACTGTACTTTTATCTCTAAGCTTAGCTGCAAGCAACACTCAGCTTGTAATTCTAATAACTTAAAAATTTAAAGCATGTCAGTATGTTATGTATTAGATAAAATGGAACTTTCTGAAGGCAGAAAGATAAACAACACCCCCCACATCTTCCGAAAACAAACAAAAAACCCACTAAAGTAATTTTTGGTCAAGTAATCAGGAAAACATCCCATTCTATACAATTATAGATAATTATGTTGTAAAACTTGAATACTTTGGTTGGAATTTAGGGAGAGGCAGGCACTCTATTGTGAAACAAACCCTAAGAGATAATGTTAACAAGCTTCTAATATTGCTAGCTATGCTGTCATGGCACTGTTTAAGTTTACATACAACTTGTAACTGAGAGAAAATTCCTGTACACCTCACTGTTGTAGAACTGCTTTGGAATTTGTTTGAAGAGGGTTATTATTGATGTTAAGGACAATCAGCTCCTAGTCCTGATGCATCCAAATCAGTTCTTGGACAGGCACACTTAATATGAGATTCCAGTTCTGATCGAAATGCTTCATAAATCCAGCTCTACCTATTAAAACTGGCAGGGTTTTATACTTGAATGGAAGAAAAATTCATACGAGGCCTATATAACTTCAGCCTTTCATCACTGAGAAGATGACTGCAGCCAGACATGGCTATAAGGCACTAGCAGGTAATACTGATGTGAATCTGCTTTTCTCTGATTTTTTGCAATCCATATTTTGTTCCCGAAAGAAAGGTCAACTTCCATTTTAACACGGGATCGTTTCGCCGCTTGGTTAAAACCGGTAGCGGAACTATGGTAACCTGAAATACAGCGCTGTCTTTGGATACAAATTCAGGCAATTTCGGGCAAAACCTCTGGAAAGGCGACAACGCTGACAACTTTCCCATCTGAATCTGCATTCGATGACCTGTGCCCACCCACCCGAGCAGGCCCTGGGGTGCGAGGGCAGTTCTGAGGCTGGGAAGGGGGCTTCCCAGAGAGATGGCACTGGCGGCGCCGGCCGGAGTTGTCAGGCTCATTGTTCTGAGGCCGATTGTTCTACCCGCTACGGGCGATCGCGGGGGGAGAAGCGGGGTATTTTCAGAGTGAAACTCCTTCCTGACAGGAAAAGGAGCGTTCACTCTCTTTTACAAGAGAAAATCCCCGTATCTCCCCCTGAAAATAAGC